TTCCATGCACCAAGTAACAAAACGAACGGCTCCCCTTTATTTAGAGTTGAAGATATATTTTTCTCTAATCATCTCTTGGACTCTAGACAGGATAAAGAGACGATACAAGTTACAAACCGAGTATTCCATGAAAATGCTATGGAACGTTTTCGTACAGATATAAAAAAAACAAAATTGGTTGACAATATATACCCAAAAAGATATGAACGAAAAATTTGAGTCTTTTATGAATACTTTTAATCATTACTTCGAACTACGCTTTTCTGTAAGAAACTGTAAAAATACATCTTCCAATGTTACTTGGATAAACGATACAATAAAAACAACACAACGACAACTGAATGACCTGTTTGTACTCAAGAAGAGATATGCATTCCTCGAGCAAATATACGCTACGAAAAAAGACGACTACCAGCGCTTAATACGTGCAACAAAAAGGGCCAAAACAATAAGGAAAATAATAGAAGAAATGCAAAAGAAGCACAAGAAAACACAACAGGAGAATATATCACCAATATACAAACAAAAGTCAAGTAGAGATCCACTGGAGGCGGCTAGTGTACCGAATGAATACTTTACTACGGGGGCTTCTGAAATCATTGAAAATATTCCGATGTTTATAACTGATGAACATATTCAAAAGATCGATAGCACAATATTCCTTACACCAGACACCGAGACAGAAAATATCACTCTAATTGGAAAATTAAATAGTAAATCATCCCCCCGGAGCCGATGAGGTCCCTCCTCGGCTACTACAATACTGCAACAAGGAATTGGCAAAACCACTTGCCCATCTTATTAATGAATCTTTCTTAACGGGAGTTTTTCCATGTTTGTTAAAGACAACCAAAGTATGTATGTAGTTTCACGTGGGGGTGAGTTACTTACAGCACTTAGGCCCCAGCGGACCCTTTGTACGTCCCCACAATTTACTGTTCACTCAAGGGTCAGAAAACCAGCACAATCTTTTCATGAACGTTAATATAGAACAGAAAGGTATGTTCCTTATATCCGAAATTTGGAGCCATGGTACTCCGAAAATAGATTCCCTTAAGTACACGAGGTTTGGACAGTCACAAACAATATGACTTACCGTCTCGTCTTCCATTTCACACCCTCTACAGAGGGGTGTATTCGCCAGCTTCATGTAAAACATGTGCTTACGTAACCTGCAGTGTCCGGTCAGGAAGTAGGTGAGAAGCCTCAAGTCGCTTTTCGATTTTCCCAGAAACTGAGTAGATGTGTTCCGGTCAGGGTAGAGCAGAGTTTTCTTAGCAAACGCACCTACTGCTGTCCCATCCCATCTATCGCAAAAAGCTCGGTGGGAGATGGAGTTTATCAGTTTTGATGCTGTATTAACAGCTAGTGGTACAAACGGTTCAGGGGAGATCGGTGACTTGTTAGCCGCCCGTTTCGCCAACCTGTCCGCATGATCATGTCCTTTAATTCCGATGTGTCCTTTTCGCCATTTTATCGTGACGTTGTTGTATACGTTTGCCTCTTCGAGTGATTGCCGACAGGACTTCACCAACGATGATGCAGTATGATGCCTGCCAACCGCCAGCATAGCCTGTCTGCTATCAGTACAGATTACAACGTTTCTGCCGACTTTTTTGGAGTCGATAATCGCATCGGCTGCTATGTTTATAGCAATTAATTCGGCTTGAGCAGTCGTGCAATACGATCCTAACGAAGTGGAAAGGTGCAGCTGGAGATCGTGCGAGAAGATTCCCGCTCCGGAACCTCCAGCCTTCTTTGATCCATCAGTGTAGATGGTCAGCGTTTTGCCCGAGCTTGAGTTGCTCTGGGGTATCGTTTCAATGCCAAAGTGTGGCTTGCCTAAGAAAGTAGGTGTAATGTAGTCTGTGCGAGCTTTAAGGAGGGGTTGTTTACTAACAGCCTCACTCCAGAGCTTGCTCCGGACTATTCCCATTTTAACAACCTGCTTTTCATTTACTGATCGCAACCGAAGCAATGCCATCACGGCCACCTCCCTGATAAAAATATCTAGGGGCAGCACGTTTAACATAGTCTCCATTGCAATCGTAGGTGTAGATCTCATAGCGCCTGTGATTAGCAGGCAGGCCAGTCGTTGCAATTGATGCAGCAATGTAGCTTTATATGCATGTTTTAGTGCTGAGCACCAGACTATGGCTCCGTGAGCTACCATGGGTCTTATCACAGAAGTGTAGATCCACATTGTAACTTTCGGATTTAATCCCCAAGTATTCCCAATAGCCCTTCGGCACTGGGTCAGTACAATCGTTGCTTTTTTGATTTTGCAACTAATGTGTGATGTCCAAGTTAGTCCTTTGTCCAAGATAACACCCAGATATTTCACCTCTGGAGCAAAGGTTAATGGATTATTGCAGAAATTGGGTGGCGTTAAGTGTCCCAGTTTCTTCTGTTTAGTGAAGAGAACAGTCTCTGTCTTTTTAGGATTGACAGAGAGGGTATGTTCTTCACACCATCGTTCAACGAGTTTAAGTGCCTGCTGCATTCTGTAACAAAGAAAATTGTCAGGTTTACCTCTTAACAAGACCTCTTAACAACCAAAGTAATTCCCATCTTTAAAAGAGGCGACAAAGATCTTAGCGAAAATTACCGACCAATATCACTAATTTCTGTTTTATCGAAATTATTTGAAGTTGCTATGATACAAAGATTAGAGTTATTCTTTGACAAGCACAATATACTTTCCGAAAAACAACACGGCTTTACAAAAGGCAAATCAACACAGACAGCAATCATTGATATCTACAATGATATTATATCGCAAATAAAAATGCAGCGAATCCCAGTCGGAATTTTCTGTGACTTAACTAAAGCATTTGAATGCATGCTACACAATAAACTATTAACCAAATTAGAACTATATGGCATTAGAGGAAATGCTCTGAAATGGCTGTCAAGTTTTATCACAAACAGAAATCAGTTTGTACAAATAACACACAGGAATGGTAGATCAACCTCCAAAGTAAACTCGACAACTTTACCAATATATGTATACAGGTATTCCGCAAGGATCTGCGTTGGGGCTACTGCTGTTTAACCTAACCTCTTCATAAATGATATTACAAAGTTTTTAAGCGATTTCTTTGTTAATTATGCTGACGCCGGGATTCTAATACGGAAAAAATAATAGAAAGTTTGAATAAAACTTTATTTCAAATTCGAATATTACGGGAAACATTAAGCTATGAGATACTAAAAATGATATATTATGCCTAAGTATACCCAAAGCTGACGTATGGTATCGCAGTATGGGATTCAACTTCAGGCTTGAAAGAGATTGTTCATCAAAAATGAATAGTAAGACAGATTTGCAACGTAAATCAACGATCTTCATGTAGACCGCTTTTCCAACAATTGAATATCCTACCAGTAATATGTATTTATATTTTAGAAATAACTCATTATATCCACAAGCAGAAAACAGCTCTTATACTTCAAAATAATGCTATACAATACACGAACATAACACGCGCTGTGATCACATTGCGATAGCACAGCATAATTTCGCTATTACCTCAAATAGTCCCAATTTTTTAGGAGTAAAAATATATAACCACCTACCGAGACCGTTGAAATCTCTAAATTTAAGATTATTTAAATGTGAGTTAAAGTTATTGTTATTGCAGCATTGTTTCTATCATTTATGCGAGTTCTTCGAGTTTAACTTGTAACTGGACGTTTTGCTTCTGTTCTTTGTAAGCTAGGAAATAAAGAGATTATTATTATTTATCAGCTTAGGGTCAGATCGCAAGTTTTTCAGGCAGTGTCTGGAGCAGAAGCAGAAATTATGCACTCTTCCAGTCGGCCACATTCTACGTGCTCTTCTTTTTATGACTCAAGTGCAACTAACACTACTTTCCATCCTCCATACACCTCAGATAGAGCAGGAGCCTGAATTTCTTCCAGTGACCTCTACTGAACGAACCCAAGAGTTTGAGTGCGATAACTAATTTGTAATACTTCAAGTTTTTCTTCGGTCCTTATCGGCTTTTGAGTATTACATCCATATGCATCAATAAATTGTTGAATCATTCGATGTACTTTGGCAAACTGGTTTCGGTTCAAACGGAAGTAATTGCTGAAGAAACTCGAGAGTCATTTTAAGTTCGGGATTTCAGTTTTCTTTTTCGTCAACCTTCAGCAGTCCAGTCTGAATCAGATTCAGAACTTAATAACAACTCCAGTTTTCTTCATCCCTCGTTCATTTTAAGACTAAACTAAAACCGCGTTGCTAGTGGTCGAGAGCCATAAGAAACCGTGTCTCAATTTGCGTCTAGCGTAATACTATGTGCTGCTACCATCATATATGACACCTCGACCACAAGTTATATAGTAATGTGTCGGCCGCAAGCGACTTACGCCAATATCTGTTTGACGTTGTGACTTGAAACGCATCGTAGTTAACATCTCTTTAATGAAGTAGACTGTAACGTCTCGATTGCTACCATTTCATTTATGTAAAGATTTTAATGCCTCGGCCGCAAGCGACCTCGGCTACTATCTTTTTAATTGTGTGTATTATAGCTCATCGCTTAATCCATGTCTTAATCGAGTAGACTGTTACGTCTCGGCTGCAAATTTGGACTGCTACCATCTTATTTATGTAAACATTGTAATGCCTCAGTCGCAAGCAATCTTGGCTACTATATTTTCAACTTTGTGTAATATAACACATGCTCTGGTTAATATCTCTTCAATGGAGTAGACTGTAAAGTTTTGCTGTAAATAACCTTGCCTGTCTGCTATCTTTATATTGATTCTGTGACTGAAGCAGTATAATTGGTATAATATTGTATTGCCTCTTGCCAATAATTAAGTCGAGGTTGCTTGTGGTTGAGGCTCAATGATCAAGATTATATTACCAGAGAAATGATCCCACTATTTGCTACGGCGTATTTGACCAAGATAAATTTGCCAAGTTGTAGTTTTTACTTTTTCAATGTTAGAATGTTAATATTTGATAACTGCTTAAATTTTTGCAGGATTATTAAGATACAAAGTGGATTTCCAAAGTATGCAATTAGATGAACTGGACAATGGCGACGATTTTGACTTAGACGATTATTAAGAAGCGTTCAACAACAATAAAAATAAAATAATTAAAAAAATAAAAACAGGAAAAAAGGCGAGAAAAACTATTAACTAAGATACATAGAAAAAAAAATAAAATAAAATACGTGCCCACGCAGTTCCGACATTAAAGTTCTCTATTAAAAGCAAATTTACAAACCTTACTTAAATTAATAAAAAAAAAAAAACAACTCAAAAATTTAAAAGAAACGATTAAAAAAAGGAAAAGAAAAATTGGAGTATTTTTGTTAATATACAAAGATAGAAAGAATTTAATTAAAAAAGAGTAACATGATGTGCGGACGGGGAAGGGCAAAGGACTACTTAAATTTTAAATTTAAATTAAAAAAAAATAATAATGAAAATGAAAAAACCGCGAGGTGCCGGACTCCAAAAGTGCAGTGTTCCCTTTTCCTTTCGTTTATTTTTTTTTAATCTTGTATTTTTGCTCACACTAGAAGAGAAAAAAGTGATTAGTTGATGTAAAAAATGTAAAAGTTGCGATGCAAAAAAAAGAAATAATTTACACAAAATTGAGTTTCTTGGTTATTTGAAACAATAATGTTCTAAAATTTTTTTTATTGAAACTTAATCTCAAATAAAAATTACAGTAGTGACCTGAGACGCTAAAAAACGAAACTGAAAAAATTTAAACAAAAAAAAACTGCAAAAAAAGAAAAATCTTTCATGTTTCTCATTTTTTAATATTTAAATATTTAAAGAAATAAATAATATTTCGTCTATGTCAAAAAATTCCAGATATTTTCTTAATTAAGTATTAAATTTTTAATTAAATAAAGAAAGCTCACCAAGTTTTGTTCCAGGGAAATAAATAGTATACAATTTCAAAAATATCACTTGGTTTTCACTCTTCTTATATATTTTTTTTGTATAAAAAGAATTTAAATAAATACTGTGTGTATTTATTACTATAGCGATTAATTGACTTGTTTCCCCTTTTTGTATAAAATGATATACAATTTTATAAAATATACATATTACAAATTTAATTTAAACAGAACAAGTTTTTTTTTTGTGTACAACCAATTCCATTTAATTAAAATAATCATCGGTAGTATTAAGCACGATCCGCGGGTGGTATGTTGGTTATCTTTTATTTTTATATCTTTATTGTTTATATATAGATTATTGTAGTTATGGCTTGTAAAACAGAACAGGTTTGCTGAAATTAATGATAGAAATTCAAAAAAATATCGATAATCTGGTTACCAACTATTCAAAATCAGACGAAGATGTGTTAGTGATAGTAAACAAGAATTAGAAAATGATCATGAAGTCAAAGATGATGGTTTTTTTTATATTGGTAGAGATAATGTTGCAAAGTGGCATAAAACAGTTAAAGATACAACAGAGTTAAAAGTATACAGAGTACTGCAAAAGCCAGTGAACCAATATTAATAAATTAATAAAAATACGCAGGCGCAAGTTCTGTCTTGTTTACCATATAGTGAACAATGCTCATTGTAGTAGTTTATCCCCTGCTCTGTTCAACATCTTTATGCATGATATCCCGACCGACTTAAACTTCGAAATGGCCATGTTTGCGGATGATATGTTAATAATATGACAAAACGACATCCTTATTGATGCTATTGAGACACTTCAAAAGTCAGTGGACAAAATGGGCCATTCTGCTCAATGCCAGACCAAGATTTTTTCGCTAAGACCTTATCGAAATGCTCATTAGATTATTATAAACGATCAAGAAATGCAGTGGAAAGCAAAAGATGAAGCCATTAAATACCTTGGAGTTCTCCTTGATCACCGCCTCACTTGGAAACTCCACATAAACTCAAAGGTAAGGAATAAACCGTTCACAATTTATACTGTTACAGTTATAAATTAATTACAAAAGAACTCAAAGTTTACATTCCTTAATAAACATTTCAATCAGTAAGCGCATAGATTGCACATCAAATTTTGAAAAACCTGCTCAATAAAAAAAAATGGTAGCGCCGCCCCTGGCTTCAATCTCGTATACGGACGGAGATAGGTAATGCTGCTTCTAGTTATACAATTTCTGTGCAATGCTGCTTCTACTTATACAATTTCTTTGATTTGAATATCATTGGTGAATCACAAAAACCACTACATCGAATACACCACAACGGTCAGCATCCTCAAAGTTAGAAATGCTACTCGCCATCATCATGCGAGAACTAACAGAAAAACGGTATCTCAATTTGATAATATTTAATTGTTTTCATCCATTATCACTACTTAACTATTCAAAATAATAACTTACCCAGGTACAATATCACACAAATTGAAAAAACTTTTTAAAAAATATAACAAATTTAACATTTAAAACTACACACACTATTCAAAATACTCTTGTTAATAGCAAAGATAAATTAGATATCTTACAAGAAAGTGGCGTATACCAAATAAAATGTAATAGTTGTCAAGCCACATACAGGTGTTTTAAAACAACGTTTAAATATTTATAGGGGTAGTGCTACAGTAGAAAACAAGTCGAAATGTGTTAATCAACATGGGTCCGAAAATCAACCGTTTTCGCGATACAGGATGTTCAAATTTTTTCGGACTCTACGTTTTTTCTTTTAAACTGTAACTACTACAGATTTGATAATTGGCAAATCGATAGAGTATGAAACTGTCTCTTTTTCATAGTAGTATGATGTTTCCATTGCTTCCAGTTAGTATAAGTTATTTCATTACAAAACGTTATGCCATTAGTTACCAAAATTTGGCCATTACAAGGAGTAGGCTTTGCCTTACGTACAATCTGCTAAGATACATTAATTTGACGTTTTGTTGAAATTACGAAATAACCAAACTCCAGTCATTTGATTTTGCGAAATGTGAAGTGAAATCGTTTGCAATGGTCTTGTATTCAAATGCTGAAATGAGCGATATGGTGTTTATGTACGGCCGTGTCAATGCAAATAGTTTGAGAGCACATCGTTTCTATGCTGAAACATTTTCCAATCGCCGGCTAACAGGGTTGCCAAACAATTCGTGAAAACTACGGGCTATTTGAAAGAGTTCGGGCTTCCTTTGAACGTAGAATGAGAAACTGTATTGATGTTGCAGGTCGACATTTTGAACATCTTCAGTAAAAAGCTTCGTTTTGATTAATGTTAGTATTACGTTGTGTCAATTCAATTTTTCTAATAATTTATTTTTTAAAATGTTTTCTTTTTCGGAAACCTTAAGGAGTACAATTCCTTTTTTCGAATTAATGTTGTTTAGAATTAAGCTATCTGACTAATTGTTAAATAAAATTTTTGAATTTTCTGAAAAATAGTGGTATTTATTTTCACTTCCGGTCTAACCGGAAGCAATGGAAACATCATACTATTCTCAAAAAGAGACAGTTTTATACTGTATCGATTTGCCAGGTATCAAATCTGTAGTAGTTATAGTTTAAAAGAAAAAATGTAATGTCCCAAAAAATTTGAACCCCTATACCCCTATAAATATTTAAACGAGGTTTTAAAACACCCTGTATACATTGTATATGTGAGTGAAATAATCTGAATCAGAATGAAATAATTATTGATTAGAGTAAACCATACAGTTATTGGACAGTTAAGGGATTTTTTGTAGTTACTTATCTGATTTCGTAGATAATACACGAATTACATTTTTAATTATTTATTGCAAAAAAGTACAAATAGTCATTGGGCGGTAATGTTACAGTTATTGGACATATGTTAATTGTAATACATTACTGTTGAAACTTGATTATACACACAATGCGCTTATTTAGGATAAATTTTTTCATCTTCATCCAATCCTTCAAGTTATATTTTGACACCTTGCTGTTGTTTNTACGTAATAAGTAAGTAAAGAATAAATGTATCAAAAAATATTTTATTTAATATTGTATTCGATTTTGTTACTCACCTTAAACATTGAAGCCAAACTGTAAACTCGTAATTATTTTAACCAAAACAGATGTGAGATGATATAAAATTAGGGAAATCCCCTGTAACTATTGATGCGCTCGCGCAATCAGGGGGTATCGATTCTCGCACAGTCATATACCTTTCAACCGCTTTCACATACTTGCACGTACACGAAATTTTAGTTCCAAAATTATTCTAGATTAAAATTTCTTGCATCGCGTTAAATCAAATTATATCGCGTAAAAAAAGAATAAAATATATTTTATTAATCGCGTTATATCAAATTCGCGTAAAAACAGAATTAGGTGTAGTATGATGTTTCCATTGCTGAGTGCGGGAAGTTAGCCCCCCATTTTTTGATTTTTAAATTTTTTATTGTTCTAGATTGTTCTAGAGTTGTTCTACATTGTTCCAAAGCGGCANATTATATTTGGCGAATCCTATTTCGTTAAATTCATATTGTTTAAAAATAGATGTTATTTTATTTGTTAACCCTTTACTGCATGATTTTTTATTTTTAGTAGAAAAAAATTGACAAAGTATAAAAACATACACAAATTGATGGAAAAATATTTAAAAAAATTTATTCAAATTTTAAGCAAACATATTACAAAAAAACTGGTACGTAGCAAATATGACACAGCATGCATTAAATATAACTTGCGACCATAATATAAAATATTGTCACTCTGTATGGAAGCGAACAAAACAATTTCTTTCTTTATTTAAACATAGCGCTACTTGACATTTGGTACAATATATATAAGATTGGGACTTGCAATCAGGTAATTTACAACGATTTCTCTCATTTACTCTCCATTCAGGTAGATGGTCCAGTCCGTCCCTCCGAACTTCCATTTGAGGAATATCAGTAGCTGCTCCTCGTCTCTTTTTCCGTGCAAAGGCGTCTTCAAGGTTGGTTTTGGGCCTTCCTCTTTTTTTCATCTTCCCTGATTTGCATAGAGCATCAGCGATGGCTATTTTGAAATCTGCAAGAGGCATATAAATATCATTTTGCCTTCTCCATAATAGCCAACTATTTACAGCACACAAATCTATCATGTGGAAAAATAGTCGTAGGTACCACTTCTTGGACCTTATTTTAATGTGATAGAGGCCAAGCATAGAATCTAACACGTCCACACCTCCCATATATTCATTATATTTCAATATACTTTGTGGACAGTCTATTATCTTGTGGCATTTTTCACTCCTGAAAAATCGTTTCTTAGTTCCTGTTGGTTGTGAGACTTCGTAAGTCGATAGAGTTGACACAACTTTGTTGTCAAACCAAGAAACAATACTTATTTTGATATTATCCTTGATAGCAGTTTTTTCTTGAAAAGCTCCTCTTCCGCGTTTCTTAAATTCTTTTTTTGATAACATCTGACAACCTGGTACTCTATTCAAGCGTACTGTACCAAGAGGAAGTATACCATTTTTGGTTAGATATATCATCAAGGGAATGCTAGTAAACCAATTATCGAAGAAAATTTTATGGTTTACATGCTTTGGTATTGTTTCGGCAAGCTTTACCACAACATTACTGCTTGTTCCAAGATCAGGAGCACCTGTAGGGTAACCAGAGATTCCACTTAGGACAAGTACCTTGTAACCCCATTTGTGAGGTTTCTTTGGATTGTATTGTTTGATGATTGATCTGCTTTTAGTAGGAATAATTTGCTCGTCTACTGCAACATTTTCTTCCATTGGAATCAAACTCAATCTGTGTTGTATATATCTTGAACAACTTATCATGCCCTTCTGAACCCCGAGGTATAAAATTTTCATTGTTGTTAAAATGAATGAAACGTTTGATTTCTTCCCATCTGTTACAGGTCATTACAGAAGAAACCGCAGGATGGCCTATATATGTACACCAGTAATGTTTTACTTGGGGCAAATGAATAACTGACATATACAAACAGATACCAATAAACTGTTCCATTTCATTTTCTGAAATATTTGCCGGTCGATCTATACGTTTCTGAGCGGAATATAAATTTGTTTGGGCAGTAATTTTAGATATCATTTCTTTTGTAAATAGAAACTTAAAAAACTGATACGGAGTTTCTAAATCAATAACTTCCTGTGGCATATTGTGAGCCCCTGAAAACTTTATCTCATCCGGATTTTTTGTAAGGTTTCCTGTCCTCCAGATGCCTGGATTTAGTTTTTCTGCCAGTTTATTTAGAGGAATGTTTTCCTCGCTACTGTCAAAGTCTGTATCTGTTTCAGGTATTATTATATCCTCACCTTGATCAATATCTTGAGGTTCATCGTCATTGTCACTTTCGGGAACTAGAACGCGCTCATCGTCTTCTTCTTCCGAAAGATCGGAATCGTCACTATCATTATCAACTGGTATGTCTCGAACATATCTGTTATTTCCATAAAATAGCTTTACATCCATCTAAAACCACCAAAAACTTAAATGCATAGTGTCCCATATATGACTCATAGTAATTATTCGATAGAGCTTNTTTGGGACGCTAGGTTTTTTCTTTTAAACTGTAACTACTACAGATTTGATACTTGGGAAATCGATACAGTATGAAACTGTCTCTTTTTGAGAGTAGTATGATGTTTCCATTGCTTCCAGTTAGTATAAGTTATTTCATTACAAAACGTTATGCCATTAGTTACCAAAATTTGGCCATTACAAGGAGTAGGCTTTGCCTTACGTACAATCTGCTAACATACATTAATTTGACGTTTCGTTCAAATTACGAAATAACCAAACTCCAGTAATTTGATTTTGCGAAACCTGAAGTGAAATCGTTTGCAGTGGTCTTGTATTCAAATGCTGAAATGAGCGATATGGCGTTTATGTACGGCCGTGCCAATGGAAATAGTTTGAGAGCACATCGTTTCTATGCTGAAACATTTCCCAATCGTCGGCTAACAGGGTTGCCAGACAATTCGTGAAAACTACGGGCTACTTGAAAGAGTTCTTTTTGAAAGAATAGTTTTTCATTCTACGTTCAAAGGAAGCCCGCCTTTGAACGTAGAATGAAAAACTGTATTGATGTTGCAGGTCGACATTTTGATGATTCAGTAAACAGCTTCGTTTTGATTAGTATTAGTATTACGTTGTGTCAATTCAATTTTTCTAATAATTTATTTTTAAAAATGTTTTCTGTTTCGGAAACCTTAAAGAGTACAATTTTTTTTTCGCATTAATGTTGTTTAGAATTAAGCTATCTAACTAATTTTAAATAAAATTTTTGAATTTTCTGAAAAATAGTGGTATTTATTTTCACTTCCGGTCTAACCGGAAGCAATGGAAACATCATGCTATTCTCAAAAAGAGACAGTTTTATACTGTATCGATTTGCCAAGTATCAAATCTGTAATAGTTATAGTTTAAAAGAAATAACGTAGAGTCTCAAAAAATTTGAACATTCTGTATTTCAAAAACGGGTGATTTTCGGACCCATGTTGATTAACACTTTTCGACTGTAGTACTACCCCTATAAATATTTAAACGTTGTTTTAAAACACCCTGTATATCGGAGAGACCGGACGTAATTTCAAAACTAGAATCAAAGAACATCTAACAAAAGAAAATTCGGCATTCGGAAGACACAAATTTTAATAATCACGATTTCGATATAGAGAACAATACAGAAATTTTACACAAGAGGAATAAGTGAAAGCCAAATGAAAATGCTAATAACTTTAACCACTATAACAATTCATTTTTTCATATCAAAAAAATAGATGTAGAGTGCTCCTCTTTTAAGGTACCATTAAATGACTTAAATAACATCTCCTTTGCACCTAGGGTGACCAATCTTTCAGACTCAATTTTTTCTAAAACCGAATATAAAATCTTTAATTATGGCCACAAATTTTCCTTCCCACAAAAACTTGATAAAATTGAACTCGCGATCTCCCTGGAGTCACAGCTCCAATTCAAACCTGAAATTCACAAATTTATGCTTAACAATATTAAAAACATCATTAAAGACAACAACACTCACACGGGCTGTGACCGCAGGGAAATCGCTAACATAAAACAGAAGATCATTGATAATGATCTTGTGGTGACACTTGGAGACAAAAACGCTGGTCTAGTTATCCTTAATAAAAATTCTTATCTTCAAAAAACATTCTCTTTCTTTCAACAAAATAATATTACATTAATTAACAAGAACCCAACTCAATCTTACAATAACCTTCTCAAAAAACTTATTAATTCTAGCAAAGATACTCTTGTTAAATTTAACTTTAATACTTACTCACTCATTCAAATGAATCCCCTCCCACCTGTTCTCAAATGTTTAATTAAACTACACAAAGAAGACCATAGCATTCGACCTATTATTAGTAATGTTAATACTCCTTCAGAGAAGATTGCCAAACAGTTTCAAAAATTCCTATACAACAATTTTAATAATGATATAAAATATAGTGTTAAAAACTCAAAACAATTAATTGATTCTCTTCAAGATATCCAAATCAATAATAACTCCATCCTCATCTCTTTCGATATTAAAAACTTATATTCTAATATTCCTATAAAAGATTCATTAAAAATAATCGAAGCCCACCTTTGTAATAACATATGCAAATATGACAGTGTTCAATACCAAGACATATATAACTTCATTTCCTTGTTGGAATTGGTATGCAATCAGAATTTTTTCATTTTTGATAACAAATTTTACCAGATGAAGGATGGCCTCCCCATGGGTTCACCCATTTCAGGGATAATTGCTGATATTTTTGTTAACCACTTCGAAGGGATTCTGTTCTCGGAGAAATATGAATTTTTTACTAAAAATATTATCTTTTATAAAAGATACGTTGATGATATCCTTCTGATATACAACGGTAAAAGATCCCACATTATAGCTCTTAATAACATTTTTAACAATATTAATAATCTTCAATTTACTTACGAAGTAGAAAAATGTTCATCTATTTGCTTCCTTGATCTTACTATAACAAAGTGCACCTCCGAGAACAGAATCCTATTCGACATATATAGAAAACCTACTACTACCAATACCTTAATCCCAAAAAATTCATTTACATCATTTCAACATAAATACGCATCTTTTCGTTTCTTTTTTGATAGAATTTTAAATTACCCACTTTCACGTGCTAGTTTTAACAAGGAAATTAATACTATCATCAAGCTGGGCTTCGATAATGGTTACTCCCTTCAGGAGCTTCAAAATTTATTTTTCCGCATTCATCAAGCTAGAATTAATAATCTCATATATCCCCACTTTTCCAACCCCGGCGTTTTTGTCTCTATACCTTTCCACCCTTTAATCCAAAAACAATTTTCCGATATTTTCAATAAGTTTAATGTCACACCGGTATACCGTGCTAATGCTAAATTGGGCCAATTATTAACTAATAATAAACACATATTCGATGATAAACTTAAAAGTGGGATTTACAAACTTAATTGTAACGATTGCGATTCCTTTTATATAGGACAAACTGGAAGGAATATCAGTACTAGATTCAAGGAACACTTAAATAAAGAAAATTCTACTTTTTATAAACATTTAAAAGAACATAAACATAAAACTGATATATCCAAAATTAAACTTCTAAAACATCTTAATAAATCCAGAAAAATGGACCTATTTGAGGAATACTATATAAAATCATACCACATTAAAAACCCTGAACATATTTTGAATGAAATTACTGATTTTAACAATTATAATAGATATTTTACACCTTTCATATAATTTCAAACTCACCGCTCTTGCATTTGGTTTGTCACATCCTGATACCAATTTTTCATTTTCTTAAGTTGTCATATTACTTACTTCCTCTTTTAACTGACCTCAGTCCGTTGTAACCAGTCGATATGTGCACACGACTCAAGTTTTTCGGTAACACTTAACGTTATAATACGCTTTCAATAATATTAATACCCTTTTCTTTTAGATTTTTAACGATAAATTCCCTTTTTATAACACGCCTTCAGCTTTCACATTTTCTTTTACGCCTGCCTTCAGCATTTCAAAACTTTATTAACCTATCACCCGACGTTGGAGTTTTTAACCTGACATGGTAAACCCACGCCGTTTTCAAAAATTTCACTTTTTTCTTTAATCCAAAATTATATTTTTAATCATCGGTCCGTCGTAGTTTTTTGTAAGAGAAATTTTTCCACATGATCATTTTTTCACGTGTTCATCATTCTTAGTTTTTGACGGTAAGAACTTTTTATAATTTTTAATTTTATATCACCAACAAAAAAACCCGTCAACTAGTAATAATTATGTTCCATATTATTCTAGTCGTACCTGAAGACGCTTTTAGAAAAAGCGAAACATTGTTGTACCGAAATTAGAAAAAAATAATAAATAATCATCGTGGACTTATTCTTTTTTATCCTATTAAGAGGAATAAAGGCTATTTATTAGAAATGTACGAGATAACTAAATTTAAAAAACAGAATCCTGGCAAAATAGCATTAAACGAACAAATAAATCACATTATATAGTAATTTAAAAGATCCTTTTAAAAATCTTTAAAAGAAAAACTTTTTTTCCCTTCCTTTTCTATATTCGACTTGAAAAACAAGTTTATATATTCTCGAAATACTACTTGTGTTATTTTATTTTAAGAAATAAGATGTTAAGTCATTGTGTTGTGTTCGTATAAAGATGTATGGTAATTGTTTTAACTTTTAAAGTAGTAATTTGACGTAAGTTACAAACTAAATAAGGAATTTTCTATTTTAACGTGTAAACCTTTTAATATGTAGGTGTCTTCTGAAGATGGTAATTTAATAACCGAAACCGTATATGGTCATTTTATTGCCTAAATTTGATAATAGACGATGTCTGCGCCTTCGTGCGGTTGCCGAAACTTTACGGAAAATGAAAGCGTGGTATAGTACATAGAATCTATTTAAGGAAAAGCAAGGTGTTGCTTTTTTCAAAAAAGGGCAAAGAAAACTGTTTAATACTTTAGAATCAACTTGTGGATCTCACACATTACCTAACATCCGTGTACGATAGCTGTTAACATTCTTTTATCGCTTACTTAACAATAAACTCAATCAAACTCATCAAGATAAACCAATACTGTGATATTGGTTGCATACTTGCAATGATGACGTCAGGTACGATAATTAATTAACACACTGTACATTTCAAGCTGTTTAATTGCTTCGCAGTTCTGGTAATAAAATATATAGGAAAACATAAAGAAATAAAACAACATACATTTAACAAGAAAAAATACTTTTTTTAGTGTGTATAGATGCTTATATACAAACAGACTAATAGACAGACATTAAAAACTATTCCCATTTGTCGTTTTAAAAATAATAATAAAATATAGCTTAATACGTTAAATACATCAACTCGAACTTATTCATTAAAAATAATTATTGTATTAAAAATCAAATAATTACTAAACAAAATCAGACACTCACAAACAGTTATCTTAAAGATATTAACTACAACATCCTTTTCAGATCAACTATTTATGATTGTTTGATTTATTTAAAAAAGAAATACAAAATATGTTGTTCCTGTTGCGTTATTTGTTTATCATGTTTTTATATATTGGTGAAAATAAGAAATCAAGAAATAATCAGGTACTATTATAACAAAAAAGAATTAAGTTAAATCGTATTTAATAAAAATAAAAGAAAAATTAATAAAGCTTTATTACAAGTTACTGCACCCCCATTTAAACTTACTTCATTACTTCAACAAATAAAAAAAATGACTTACAACCTACAACCGCATTAAAAAAGCTAATCTCGATATAGACACGATAATCCACCTAAAGCTCCTACGTTTCTATAAAAAAAATAAAACGAAAAAGAAATATAAAAAAGAAATCGGACAAAATGCTAAATTTTTTTAACCACTAAATATTTTTTAGTGTCTTTTTTTTCACACCGCCACTGTCCCCGTACTAACATGTTTAACTTGACACTATAGTGCACTTGGAATGAGAGCAATGTGATTAATAAAGTTATTATTTTGATCTCTCTTATCGGTTTCCTTTTATTTTTTTATTTCGTGGGTAAACGTTTCAGCTTTCCGCCGTCGATTCGCTCGGTTGCCGCAGGAGACAACCCACCGCTCCGAAGTAACCTTCGTGTTCGAGGAAGAGCGCCTTCATCGTTCCCTTTGACCAGTAATCCATTGCGAAAGCTAATAGCTTCATTGAAATCGGATTTACGCGTAAGAAGTTTCCTATGAATAACACCTAAAAGGAAAAAAGAGAATAATTAATATATTATTGAGTTAATATTGAGTATGTGAGCAAAATAATAATTTTAAAGTTATCATATAATACAAATTTATATTGTGATGTGCTCATAAATACTTAATCAAAGTTTTCAATCTATGCGCGATTTGGAATAATATTTAGGAATACTCTAGTGTTTGTCACTGAATATAATTTATGGTAAAAGCCTACATATATATGGATGACCTGAATTGAGAGTGGGTTTGAGTAGCACAAAGCTTTTGTGAATACTGAACTCGATATTGTTCATCTTAGTTATGGATCAAATCTCAGAACTATGTGGAAGAGACCAGAAAGATCTATTATACGCTGATGACTAACTGGTGGTATTAAGTAACAAAGCAGAGCTGGAAAGAGCGATAGGAACTTGAAGTAAGCATTTTAAGGAACACGGCATGAGAATTAATTTTAACAAATAATGATATTGTATCATAATGGAAATCTGGAAGCAGATAAATATAAACCATAGGATACTTCCCACATTTAAATTATTTGATGCGTAGAAGTTTTAGGATACTTTAACCTATGTAAGCAAATCATGAGTGCTTTCAGAAAGGTTAAAATCAAAGATTACTGCTATAGAACTGAAGATATTAAAAAAATTGCAACACCTAGAAAGAGATGAGTCACTAATCTGAAATCTTAATAAAACTGGATGCAAGTAAAAAGTCGGTGATAAAAACATCATATCAATACATAAAGAATTGCAAGTTTTACAGCAAGCCATGGATGAGATTCCACAAGATACCATTGATCATCTCATTTAGAGCATGCCTCACAGAGTTAGACAGTGCATAAACAATCGTGGGAATGTAACATTTTATTGACATAAATTGTTGGTATTTTGTTTTCAATTGTTATAACTTGTTGAAATAAAATTACTTGTAAAAATTTCAGCTTTAACTCAGCTCTTTCGAGGTGTTGCAATTTTTTTGTTGTGTACTTTATTAAGAAGAATAGAGAGTGTGATAAGGATGGACAGAATGTGGAACTAATAATAACAAAAATAAAAGAAAGCCATCTGAGATGGTGATTGAAAATAACCTGGTCAAACAGATATAAGAGGAAGGATAATGGATGGAAATGGTAAGAGATACGTGTGGACAAATTACCACTTCATATACAGTTTTTAGGCTCAGAATCATACAAAAATTGATGACATTGATACACAAAATCAAGAAAGTATAACTGCTATGCAGATATACCGGAAGTTTTTTGACGCAGAAGTTTTGAGTGTTATTGTTCGCGAAACAAATAAAAATGCTGCAACTATTATTTCACTCGGCCAGAATCAATAAATGGATGGATACCAATGAAGATGAAATGTGGAAGTTTTTTGCTGTCCTTCTTTATATGGGATTTGTAAAGTATCCTATAATAGCTGATTTTTATACAAAAATTGTATCATTCCAAAAGTTATGAGCAGAAATAGATTTCAACTATTGCTGAGATTGGTTTATTTTGCTGATAATTCGACGGCTGACAAAAGTGATAGGTTATACAAGGTTAGAAATCTAATTGACATGATGAAGGAACGATTCAATGTCGAATATGTGCCTGGAGAAATGATAGCTGTTGATGAAACAATGATTCATTTTCGTGGCCGATTATTATTCAAACAGTATATTCCCAACAAAAGTCACAACTATGGAGTGAAAATGTTCAAGTTGTGCAATCCAATTGGTTATAGATTGAGCATGTCACTGTATTCTGGACAAACAGTTACTGGACTGCAGTCTGCTGGACTTGCTGAAAGAGTAGTTATGGAACTTGCAGAGCCATATTTATCTGAAGGAAGGGTTATAGTAGTGGATAACTTTTGTACATCAGTTCCATTGGTAATTTCACTTTTACAGAGAGATACCCATTTATTAGGTACCCTAAGGAAGAACAGGAAGTACTTACCAAATGATATCATGACAAAAAAACTAAAAAAAAAGTTTTGAAAATTGTTGTTGGAAAGTGGAAGGACAAACGCGATGTTTACTTCCTAAGCACAAAACGTACTTTGGAAAAGATGACAACTGGGCGAAAAAACAGGTTGGGAGAGGAAGTTTGTAAGCCAGTTGCTGTTTTAGAATACAACAAGGGCAAGCAAGGGATAGACCTTTCAGACCAAATGTCAAAAAAAAAGTTTCGTGAGGATATTGCAACAAATAGATTTTTTATGAATTAATAAAGTTAATCTAAGAAAACATGAAAGTTATCAGAAATTACGATTGTGATCAAAAATTTATACCTCAAAAACAAAAAGAGTTATCTCAAAACGGACATTATCACTGAAAGGAAGATGCTTTAATTGATAATTGAGATAAGTTTCATGGTGATATTCCAATAAATCGACTTTTCACTTGCTTTAATTGTGGTAAACATGAAAGTTGTCAGAAATTACGATTGTGATCAAAAATGTATATCTAAAAAACAAAAAGAGTTATCTTAAATGGACGATATTTAAATCTACCGATTTCTTACATAACAATTTTTTACATTAATTCTGCTGATATTTGGCCAACGTTGGCCCATCCCACAAAAAAATCAAACATTGCAAAAGATTGCCGAAACTTTAATTGTTTGTTCTTTTCCAATGTTGGCAAGTTTACAAAATTGCGCAATTTGCTCAATTTGATTTAAGGACAACATTACACAGATTTTTCGCACAGACTTGACTAACATTTTTAAAGTTTTGTGCAATGATAAATTTTGCATTTTCAAAGTGTGCAGCTTTGACAAAAATTTTAATTTTGATCGTAAATTTAGTAATAAGTAAAATCTTAATATGTAACTGTTTATGTGATTAACGGTACATATAACTGTATAGTATATATATTTTGGTGTACACAGTATTATTACGTATCTGACACTAATACAATTAATGATAATAATTATAAAAAACTTTCATTGACCTTTCAAAAAGTGATTTTACGCCCTTGAGAAAAACCATCAGATGGTTTCACAAAGTAGCTTTTGAGGTTCTATTGAATATTGCTGTAGTCAATGCGCTTTTCATTTACAATTATTTTCACAAAAGGAAAATTTATATTGCCTCATTCAGGGAGATGCTTGTGCTTGAGATGCTAGGTATTGAAAAAAGTGAAGAAAAGGATAATAACAATCGGCGAAAAAAAAAAAGAAATTAATTGTTACGCAGAAGCTGCAAAAGAAGGACGTTCAGTGGCACAAAAACAAGGAAAATTAGTTTCCACAAGATGTCATGTTTGTGACAAGTATATGTGTCTTCCATGTCTTACAAAAGTTTATTGAAAATGCAAAGATAATAAAGTCAAGATCTCATTGCACTTAAGTAATCCTGGTGATCCTCATGGCACTAAAGTAAAACAGTTGTTACTGCGTGCCATGAGGATCACCGGTGAACTCACATTTTTTTGCTTTTTACCCTCATATATACCATCTACATGTAAAAAAGATGTCGTTTATCAAAAAATGTGTACAATTTTTTTACAGTGGCCCCTAGGGAATTACTTAATTGGTTGTATGGTGGCAGCCAACGTGTTAATTATGTTTCAAAAAGACGTATTTACAAAAACAATACAAAACACTTAATCCATAACCTTCAAAATTAGGATAAATCCATTATTATAGATTAAGATAATAGATAAGTTTTGACAAACGGGCTTTAATTACTTTAAAACCTGTAAATTCAGCTTGATGACGAGACCAACTGTCTCCGTCATCCGTTTTGATGTTGTGTTTTTTCATCTGTGAAACTATTATGGTAGTACTCTGCCCAAATTCTTTTGGTTCATATCTTCCACAAACTTGGAATGTCTTTGGATAGCCAAACTATTATACCTTGTCAATTTATTGTACTTTCTTACAAATTTTTTGTGTGAAAGTCAACAAAGTGTAATAAAGAGAAATGATATAAAATAGAGTAGAATGAACAAAAAACTCGCTCTTTAAAGTCTCTGGTAAAGGTAAGTAATAAAATCGCTTATATCTTCAGTGTTCCACGTATACTGCGTGGATGAGTACGCGTTTCATATTTTGTATCTAAATGCTATAAACATTTAGAGCATTTAAATCCTCCTCGAGTTTCTGTTTCGGCCAAAAATCGACCGAAACGTTGGCAAGTGTGGCGCGGGTTACTTTTTAATTAAAGATCAACGCTACTTCAAAGGTTAATAATATGGGATAATTTTTATTTCTTTTATATCAGAAGGATTTGACGTGAAGATTTGGATAAATATTGAGGTAAGTATCTTATGTTGTAGAAAAAGTGGCTTGGTTGTGGTACTTTTTTCACCCGTTAAAGCCCTTACTGCTATCTTTTGTTGCAGGAAAATATCTTTCGCCACCGATAAGTTCCCCCAAAATCTTAATTTGGGGGAACTCATATGATGCCTTACTATGAAAGTTCGCAACGTACGTAGCCCTAGCTGTCTCATATCCAGCTATTGTTCTAATACGCCTGATAGTAAAAATCGCAACAGCTAGAAATCTTTGAAGATACTCAACATGAGAGTTCCAATTCAGATTTGACATCACGGAAATCCCTAGGAATTTTATTGGTTCCTGCTCCCGTGCCTAGGTTTCAATAATTCCAGTGTTCTTTTCAAGCT